CATTTGTTTAGTCAATTACCAAAATTTGGATGATTTTGAATATTCACTTGAAAAGTTATCAAAGAAAAACATTTTTCATTTTGTAACTTCGAGGGCCCGTAACTTGGTTACGAAGACTTTTAGGAAAAAAAGTTATATGAAGTACTGGTGATATTTTGACCCCATCTATACATTCCCGAGAGGAAAAGAGGAAGTCCAGGGACACCCTGTATAGTTATTTCACGTTTTGATGGTCATCAAATAATTAATATTACTTCATTTATCTTTTTTTCCACTTACTATATTTATTTCACTAATTCACCATTAGTAATGTTAATTTTCTATCATATATTGAATGAATGTGAACGTAAAATATCGTACTCATTTTCTAGGAAAATTTGCAAAGACTATATCTTTGCTATGGAAGCATACATTCGCAAGGCTTGGGGAAGATTGGGTCTTCTTAGCTCTTTTAGGTATTATAATGGCCCTTCTGAGTTTTGTTATGGACAGAGGAATTTCCGTGTGCGATAGTGGTGAGTTTTGATTTGTTTCCTCTTATATATTTGTATGGATGATTTTGGATATTCAAGATAGTTGTTACTAATTGATCTGTGAATTATTTCCAACGAAAGTATTGAAANAATAATAAATCCATATATATTAGGGTACGAAGATTTTTCGATTTCTATTTCCCATCTTTATACAAAAAAAGTTTGAATCTTCCAAGGAAAAGAAGAAGGCAATAAATTCCAAATTATAAACTTCACAAAGACTTGTGGATTATGCAAAGAAGTAACTACCAGACACAAACTGCTAGAGGAAGCTTTCTAAACAACTACGTTCACATAAACACAGAATTACACGAAACGACTACTTTTATATGAACATTGATTTATACAAAAACACGTTTTCCTATTCAGTGTGTACTCCAAACATTCGTTATGAAATTAGATCAGATATCATTCACAGGATTGCTACACAATATAGTATATGAAACACTGTCATCCTTGATGGCGGACATCAGACGTTTCGGAATAAGATGCTTGCCTTATTGCCTCTTCAGCACCTATCTGGAACACATTTCAAAATAAAGCACTCAATTTATTCATGAAATTACGACTTTATATCACGAATGTATTAAATTTACTCATGTCATCGTTGACAGTACGTGATGACATTCATTCGCTAATTTGAACTAATCCCAGCCATAGGAATCTTGTTTGAATTGAAGGAACTTTAGGAGATATCAATTTTCGGGAAAGTTTTGGCTTTCTACTTCTCCATCTTTATACAAAAAATGTGGGAATCTTCAAATTACTTTTTCAGGAGGATACTTAGAAATGGAGTTTCACAGTAACTCATTTATTAATATAAAAATATGTTTTATCAAGTCTTCAGAAATTAATGAACCACTTATATATTTCAACAGTAGTATACCCTATAGTTATTTGTACTTGTTTCATTGAAACCATATTTTATCTATGAACATATCTACACATATATGTATTTCACTCAAACAAGAAATATTCATTTTAATGTATTTTCATGGACTGAATTGTTTTGTATTGATAGTGCTCGAATGAAATGTTCTGTAGTTTCGGTAATACTGTCAACATATCAAAATTATGAATATTACTGGAGTTTTCTCCCAACACCAAACCGTTATTTTTAACTCCTCGACGTGTGTTTCGATCACCAAGTGATCATCTTCAAGAGGATCACTTGGTTATCGAAACACGTGTTGAGATGTTGGTGTTGGGAAAAAACCCTAGTTATTTGTACTTGTTTCATTGAAACCATATTTCATCCATAAACATTTCTATACATATATGTAATTCACTCAAACAAGAAATATTCATTTTAAATCTTCTACCGATCCCATAGATGGCGTGTTCGTAGGGGGGATATTACCGCCTTTACTGAATAGAACTCTTATTTAACTGGTTATATCACTAAATAATTAATCTACAGCGTGCAAATGACATCATTCTCGTTTTAAACCAATAGAACTGGCCAATACTTGATGAAAATCCATATTAAAACTAATCAATAGTTTATTGTATGATTTTCACTACAAAAGGTTTTACAAAAACCGCAACACGTGTTCGGTATACAATAGCTTCCTCAAGCGTAAACTACAAGTTTACACTTGAGTGGAAATCAAACAATAAACTGGATTAATTCGTCAGTGTCGTTGCTTTTCGAGTTTGAAAGCCGTGGATTTTTGTAATGTTTTCCTGACGTTTCGCTGGCGCGAGTGGCTAGCTTCTTCAGAGGTTTAACCATCATGGCTTGCTGTCCGATGACTACCTTTTAGGCTTCGTAAAGAGTATTTATGCCTTGTCAGGTAATCAGTTGTATTTGTACCTGTATTTGTACCAGCATTTGTACCTGAATTCGTACCTGCACTTGAACCTGGAATATCAACAATCTTGCTGCCTCTGTTGTCCTGTTCGTTATTCTCGAATTCCTTAAAATGGCGTTCCATATTTGATCGAAGTTCACCGCTTCTTCTTTTCTGTTGAAATTTTCTGTGTGTTTGTGGATCTCTATTGCCTCTCGTACCAGTCGGCTATGGTATCCCTGGTTGGGGGCAATTAGATCTGTGTTCACAAACAAAATTCTGTGGTCTCCTTCACTCAGTGCGTGTTCTACCACAGCTGACTTGTCTGTTTGGCCTAGTCTGCAGTTCCTTTTTATGCTCTTTTAGTCTTGTTCCCATGGATCGTTTGGTGGTTCCGATATATACCTTTCCACAAGTGCACGGATAATGGGTCTCTTTTGTCTTTAGCCGACCTGAGGCTTTGTTGTATCTTCCTCGTGGGTTTGAAGACTGATTCGATGTCGTGTTTTCCCAATAGTTTTCCAATTCTATCCGTGACCCTAGGGACAAACGGTAGATATGCGTGTGCAACCATCTGATCCTTTTTCGCTTTCTGAACCCTTCGGTCTCATGGCTCTTCTGGTCTCGGAGGCACTGTATCCATTCGATCTCAAGGTCACTTCCAGGTATTTCAGTTCCCTCCCCAGATGTTCTGGTTCACATATTCTCCGAGCCCGTTCCCTTAGAGTGAAGATAACTCCTCTCTTTTGGCTAGGATGGTGGTTCAATAGTGCGTGCAAGTATCTATCTGTGTGTGTGGGTTTTCGATACACTTTGTGGGTTAGTCTGGTACCACATACTTCTACTAGCGGTGAACCTCAATCAAATATGGAACCGCATTTTAAGGAATTCGAGAATAACGAACAGGACAATAGGCAGCAAGATTGTTAATGTTCCAGGTTCAAGTGCAGGTACGAATACAGGTACAAATGCAGGTACGAATTCAGGTACAAATTTAAACTGATTTCCTGACAAGGCATAAATACGCTTTACGAAGCCTAAAAGGTAGTCATCGGACAGCCATGATGGTTAAACCTCTGAAGAAGCTAGCCACTCACGTCAGCGAAACGTCAGGAAGAAATTCCAAAAATCCACGGCTTTCAAACTCGAAAAGCAACGACACTGATAACCTCAGCCGTGAAAGTCTAAACCATTTTGTATTAATTCGTTTCAACTAGTTTCTCACGTATCTCGGAAATGCTTCTGAAGTAATCATCAACAGTGTACCATAATCAGAGATAATTGGATATCTTCCATAGGTACACTTCACTAGTATAATAGCTAAGTGATCAACAAAAACTGATAAATGCACATCAAGTATGTTCCTCAGAACTAGGCCCATCACGGAACCTATTTTCACATCTTTCAAAGCATTTTCAATATTCCAGACAACTGTAGATAGTATTTATCGGATATTGTGTTAGAATAATCTTTCGTTATCTCATAATAACCCAGCTCTAGCTAGCAGTATTAAAAGATTTTCACATTTAGTGCAAGGAGAATAGTCCACGGTTCTCTAGCTGTTCCAACATACTTCAATACACTCTCAACCACTCACAGTTTGGGAGTTCACTCCTTTTTTCTTCCCGAGTCTACTTAGTAGTTTGACTAACAGTTTTCCGTTGAACTCAGAACAGACTGGTTGAGAAGCAGACTACAAATTGCTTCATTCCTTTCAATAATAGAATTACCCATGTAATTTTCCACCGTGTCGAAGTTTTTTGTTTCCTCAAAATTTCGTTCAGTACCTACTGTCAGAAAAAAATCAAGTTTTTCTGTGGCTCATCAAAAATTCATCAAAAAGAGGGTTTCATTCATTTCATTTTCCAATTGGCATCAATCAGTTTTTGACGTATCAATCTTTGATATGTTCTACTTCAGAATCAATATTTTCTCTTTCTCTCTGGTCATCTTTTTAAGGAAAATATATTGACGATTTTAACTTTTTCTCATTTGTTAGGGTGAGACCAAAACTAGTCTTTAAAATATTTTTTCACTGAATGGTCAGTACAGAGAGGTCTCCATTATTATAGAAAAAATTTGAATGGATCATTTAACTTTTTTCTGTTTCTTTCATTTTTCTTGTGAACTTTCATGGCTCACTTTCATATTTTTATAGTACCTATCAATGAAAATATGAAGTCATCGCCTTAAACTATCTACTGATATCCTATAACTCCCATCTTGTCATTGCTTTCCGGCCATCTCGATCTGAAATCCGTTTTATTATGTATTTTTGCTTGTACATCATCTGCCATTTTATCATTTTCATTATCTTCCATTTTATCTCATTCCTATATAGCTGTATTCTATAGTTGGTATGACCTGCTACAAATCTAATATATATATATAGATAAGGTGATAAATTACTCAATTCCGTTAGTAGTTAATTTTTTCTCATCTTGGTTTACAGTTTCATTATATCACAGCTAGATACTCTTATATTTTCATTCATTCTTATGTTGCTTTCATGTACCCTTTTCGAAAACATTTCGTGCAGCTTCTACACTCGTACTTCCTCCATCTGAGACTGGTCTTTTCAAATAATTCTTTGCCGAAAACGTTTTTCATTTGGTATAGCTTCTTTTTCCCCTACAGAAAAGTTCCTATATCTTCTCTGAAACTCTTCAATTTTCTATAAGTGCAACTATATCTGGTGTGGGTCGCCTGACATCCATGAAAGAAGTACAAATTTTCTCGTCTAGAGTCGGAATATTGCAGTTATTATGCAATTATTATTATTTCTCATCATCATTAGCAGATAATGCTTCAACTCGTGAAGGAATCAAACACAAATCGCATTGGTGTAACATGGTAGGAATAAAATCAAACTATAATATAACAATGGAGCAATCTAATCATAACTTTTTTATAAAACTCAGATTCAGATTTTCATTTTCTTCTTAAGTACAAAAATCATACACTTTTTTTTCATTTTATTGAAATAACTCCAGAGCCAATCAGTAAGTCCCAGGCAGAATTTTTTCTTTTGCTTTTAGGCTTGATCTATGGAATATTTGAATGCATTCTATGCTGAAAAATTAGATAGTAATTGGAAGTTGTAGATTTCTCTTCAAAGGAGGCAAAAAAGGACGCAAAGTTAATAAGAAACTGAACAAGTTGCATGCAGATACCTTTTAGTATTATTGTTGACTGATTTATATACCTATCAATGAACCTTTTTAATGTTCAAAAACATATTTCTTTGTTTATGATTTGAAATATTCTATATTGGGAGTTTGCATAGCAATAGACGATTGCAATGAAAGTTTCAGACGACCAGATAGTAGTTTCTGGATTCCCATCTGGAACTCTTACTGTATTTAGTTAATTAGTTGTGGTCAAACACAAATAATTCATATTTCATCAAATATTCTTCCAGGATCAGGTATCCCAGAAATGAAAACAATTCTGCGAGGTGTCGCTTTGAAAGAATATCTAACATTCAGAACGCTCATAGCGAAAGTAGTAGGACTAACCGCTACATTAGGAAGTGGGATGCCCCTAGGTAAAGAAGGTCCATTCGTCCATATCGCCAGTATAGCAGCTACACTGCTGAGCAAACTTGTTACTGGATTTCAAGGAATTTACGAAAACGAAAGTAGGACCACGGAAATGCTTGCTGCAGCATGTGCCGTTGGAGTAGCAAGTTGTTTTGCTGCTCCGGTTGGAGGTAAGTATCAATTTCTACTAGTTGATAATATGAAAGGAAGAATGTTATCGAATTCAACTGGAAAACTTTTGAGGATTCATTTTCCATAGTTATTTTTGAGGTTTAATTTTGTCATCAACCATTTCGGGAAAATATGTTTCAACTAATCAGATTTCATTATTAGATAAATGAACAAGCACTTCACCCAATCACCAGAAATATAACGCGCGTCAAGAAGAGTATTTTGATTGGGAACAGTGCTTGTTTTGGATTTATACAACGCCTGAGTTTCCAGTTTCACTCTCTGTTTTTTATTAATTTTTTCATTTACAATTTTCATGATGGTTTGTAAAAAATAAATGTTTGTTACAGTCATCTGCTGAAGATTTTCCAATATTTTTCAAATTTGTTGGCTCTTCTCCAACTACAAATGATAAAAATGAAGTTGATCTCTTTCATTCAATACTTTTGATTGCTATTTTTTGGGAAAGAAAGTTTTTGGCTTTCTACTACTCCATCTGATACAAAAAAAGGGATGAGAGAATCTTCCAAAGAAAGGAAGGAAGTAATCAATTTTAAAATAAGTAACTCTATACATGGATGTGTAGATCATGCAAAGAAGTACCTTTCAGACACAAACTGAAAGAAAGTCCTCCTGAAAGAAAGAAAAAAAAATTCTTTCGAAACAAATACTTCTATATGAACACTGAATTATACAGAAGATACTTTTCTCTACTCAAAAATTAATCTCTCTTAAAAATATAACCCCTTCAATTCAAATTTTGATTGCTAGTTTCATCAGATACAGGAATAGTTCATAACAGAATATATAATGTAATATGAAAATCGAACATTAATATTTGTAACTATATTCTATGATGAAGAGTCCAATTCCTTGGAAATTTGGAAAACCTCCGGATTGGGGCTTCACCTGCGTAGACACAGTTGTAACTTCTTCACACCTTGCCGCTACGTCTAATTCCAATGAGGCAGCTGCTATTATTGCAAAAAAATCAAAATTTTGGAAATAATCCACTTTGCTACCTATTGATTTTCAATTCAAAGTATCGCCATTCAAAGGGGTAATGCCACTTCGATTGGGTACCGTCTACTCGAAAATTAGATGAAATATTCCTAAACTCACTAGTCAAATAAAAATTTCCTTCAATTAACCAAAAATGGAGTAAGCAAATTGACCATTGCCCGATTTTCTCAGAAGATGCAGAGAAATAAGAACAAGTTCTGAAATTTTTATTTTCTCTACTATCTAATTCAGTTTCAAGCATTTTAACTTGAAATTCCTCATCCCGCTGGTATGATTATGGGGAGAATCATCGCATCCGTGATTACTCGGGAGAAAACAGCAGTGGCGAACGTATCTTCAACAGCTACAACAAAATTAGACCAGTGATACATTTTTCAGTCAGAACCCTTAGACTTGAAGGGTTGAGAAATATTGACAACACCTGTTTCATGGACAGTGTAATCCAATGTTTATCAAACACGAGATGGTTACTGGAATATTCGAAAAAGGATAAGTACATGAAAGATATCAATACTAGTATATCTAGTATGGAGGGTGCTTCAATCAAAGCGTTCGCAGATGTTATCAAGAAATTGTGGTCAAAAGATTATTCTGATATAGTAGTGAACACAATCTCCTTAAAAAGTCAGATTCAGTGTTTTGTCCCTCAATTCATGGATCATGCGCATCAAGAGGCCCACGAGGCCCAATCTCCGTTAAGATCAACCGATCTTAACGGAGATTGACGAAAAATTATGCGACAGCAAAAAGCACAAGAGTCATCACTCCCCATACCACAAAGAACTGACCAATTAAGTTTATCACAATGCTTGGATTCCTTCACAATAGGGGAAACTTTGGATGGACATGAAAAACGGCGTTTAAAGGAATGAAAAAAAAATCCCGAAGATTCTATCAACCCAATCCAAAAGATTCTCTCTAACAGAAAAATTCAGAGACAAGTTGAATGTTGCCACCAAGATACCTTTAAATGAATTAGATATGAGCAATTATACAGCAGACAATGAGACTCCTTGTTGTTATAATCTATATCCACTTTCGAATCATGGGTTTACTTACAGCGAACATTATACTGCAGACATCCCTACATTGGCACGTGCCACCAATACAATGATTCACACGTGTCACCAATTTCATCAAAATAGCGTGTGGGTGGAGATGCATACATATTCTTTTATGAAAAGGAAGAAACGAGTTCGCATCTTTAAGCGTTTTTAAATATTATTTTTGAACTGTTAATTTCAATATTATGTCGAATAATTTAATAAAGACTATAAGTTATTATCATTATTCTGACATAAAAATCAACAACCTCAGCCATAACTAGATGATAATATTCACTTGAACTTGTACTTGAACTATATATTTTCCACCGTAAGTTTAAAAAAAATCTATGTCGGTTAATTAGTCTTCAAGAATAGGACGTTCCTTTATATCGGAAATTTAAGAGTTGCTATCACTTCTGCTATGATCACCGGTGGTCAACACTACATGGTTTCACGGCTTGAGTAATGATGATTAGCTCAACTTGATGAGGTGAAAGTGTCAGAAATTAAACAAGATCTTGATATAATTTGAAAATTCAAAATGTTAAATAGTAGCCACGTCTCTCAAATAAGTATAATATTTAGGAGTGATAATATATCAAGCATACACCGGACCCACAGTTACTTATGCTACATTGGTGTAATAACCAGGAAAATAACTCATATCAATGCAGCTCTAGAGGCAAAACCTAATTTTCCAGAATGGCATTTCCTAGATATGAGGGAAATATCTATAGTTTTTTTCTATATTCTCAGATTCATTTTCATCATCATTTTCATTAGTTATGAACTTTGTCAATCAGATGTGACATTCTTCAGATGATAAATCATATTAGATTCAAATTCATAAACTGGAACTGGATTGTGGATGAATTACATAGACAAAATTCGGAGGGCAAAGATTAAATCATTCAAAAAAGTGGACCAAATATTATTAACAATAAATAAAAGTATGAAACGCTTCCGCGTTTCTATCCAAAATCGCCTTGAAAACTGAAGTTTTATTATTCTTGATGTATCTAGTATAGCATGTTTGATATAGGAAAAAAATTATAACGAAACTCAAGAGATTCCTTCGTCAATGAAATTACATTATTTTTTGTTATTCTAATGTAATCACTGAACCTTGTTCTTCATGTTTCATATTTACATTTTCATAAAACTGACTAAAAACAAACCAAGTTAATGTCTTTTCTAGGGGTACTGTTCAGCATAGAAGTAACCACAACTTATTTTGCTGTTCGCAACTACTGGAGAGGATTTTTTGCTGCTGTGTGCGGAGCCACAACGTTTCGTCTCTTGGCAGTGTGGTTCCAAAGGGCAGAGACGGTCAGAGCAGTTTTCAAAACTAGTTTTTTCATGGAATTTCCTTTTGATCCACAAGAATTATTCGTTTTTGCTCTAATGGGGTAAGGGTATTTATTTTAATAGGATGGATATATACTAAGTTGATGCAGTGGCACTTTCGTTTCAGAGCCGTGTGTGGATTAGGAGGTGCATTTTATGTGTGGGTACATAGAAAATATGTCATGTACATGAGGAACAATAAACTCATTAACAGTTTTTTCAAAAAGAAGTAAGTAATCCAGTACCTATTGTATGATCAGTTGTATGATCAGTAAGATCATTAATATCGGCTGCGAGTTCAATCATGATGAAATATCAATTGAATTTGTTGCTTCGCACAATGAATTCGGTTATTTATACAACTTCAAAAACTTAGTTCTTGTTTCAAAACCTACCAAATTTTGATAATAAGAACATTCTATCAAGTTCAAGAACGTAGCCAGGAATGTATTTTAGCAGATGAGGGGTCAAGGGACATGTTCGAACTTTTATTTTCGGTTTCTATAATATCTCCTTTCCCTCAGGAACTTCATCTGGGCTTTAAATTAGAAGAAATAAATTCGTATTTTTCATTATTAATTGATTGACATCAGATTGAAGACTTCGAGAGCCAAAATGGGGACTGAACATAAAAATTCAGATTCTCCTACAACGTCTGGAAATTTTATGACATAGGAAAACCTCAGTAATTGAAAAAAAAAATGAAGATAAAAGTATGATTTGGTTCAGTCAATTGAAATGTGTGCATATCAATAATTTTCGAAAATTTGCCAAGCAAATGAGTGACCCCAGATCGAGGAATTCTATCTTTAATTATTGTATTTGCTTCAGAGCAAATTTATGAAAATTATGAAATTGCACGCATTTTTATCGATTGAGTTTGGTGTACAAGATATATATGTTGAGCATATTTCCAGAAAAGAAAACGATAATATGAACTTGAAAAACTTAGTTTCGAAACCCATATTTTAGGATTCATGTGAAGTATTAGCTCAAATGTTCCTGAAATTCAGGCGAATATCCAGAATAACTCCCAGATATCGCGAGCTTCTCTGTTCCTCAACGCAGTCACCCTTTACTCACAACTTCCCGAAGATATTCACGTTAGTAAATTCCTTCGTGAAATTAAAGAGTTTTGTCTTCATTGGGTTAATCAGAACTTTTTTCTTCTCGAAATACGACACGACCAACGTGTCGCTCGAGAACGAATGATTGTATATCACAGTGTCATATGCACATTCGTTCTCGAGAACATAGAAAAGTCGTGGGTATACAAAGAGTAGAAGTACGGTGACAAGCAGGGCCCCCTGCGGGGCACCTGCTTTAATTGAATAACTTTCAGATGTGGTTTGGTCCACACCTACGCGAAAAGCTCGATAGTTCCGCATGCTTCAAACAATCCGGATAATGTTGCTGTCTGATAATCGCGTTTATGATGTGTACTAGCTGTACGAGACCCTTTCGCGGCAGGTTACGCAGTAGAACTGTCTCAATACCATTAATGCCTGGGGCATTGTTCTTCCCCAGGGGCTTGATGGTTGTATTCNTTTGATTATTCAGTGTAGTCAATTATTGGTCAACCCACGAGGAAAAACGTAACAGTACTGACATCGTGACATGAGCAGATTTGTCTCACCGATGACATAATGTCTCAATGTTGTGCAATAAATGTGTGTGTTTTCGTCTTCAAAAGTTCAAACAGTGCTAACTTCGAGAAGTACATTTTGAAGGTGTTAGAGTTAACTATTGTATAGCTATACTCTTTCATTTATTGCGTAGTGTAGTTTTTCTGTGTATGTGTATCTGTGTATCTATTTGAATTTTACAACTTATGTTTGGAGAACAGACCGAATGAAAAAAGTGTTTTTCATGTAATTCAATGTTCATATGAAAGTACGTTTTCCTTCACGTAGTATAATAGTAGTTGTTTCGGGAGGGATCTTTATGAATAACAATATCGCAAGTTTTGTGTGTTTATTCTTGCAAATAATCACATTATTTGAATAAATTAGGAAAAAAAACTTAAGAATTATAGGTATTATGAAATAAACATTTATTTTCACGAATTTGTTCAATAAACTTTTATGTATTCAACTTTGTATGACGTATCTAACAGCCGCTGAGAAGGCCCTTTCGGATTCTACGCTAGTTGCAATCACAGATCCCAGGCAGTCATGCGCAAACTGTAAAAGTTCGCCTTTTGACCCCGTTGGGCTCCTTGGAATCCACCAAGATGGATCTGAGTTTGTGTCTGTGAAATAATCAGATTATGTTGGGAATGTATGCTCTCTAAAAGTAATTTAATTTTAGTTCGAACCACAGTTTTCGGAGGCAATTTAAAGGTTTTGTCTTTCGCAAACTCTTCTTTATCTGTTTGGAATTTAGCTGGATTTTCAACATATAACAAGCATACTATAAAATTTTTCCGCCGCTCAACAATGCGCTTTCTCAAGGAGCCAGCTATTTTTGTACCAATGAAGTTTTTAGCTCTTCCAGTTTGCGATTCAAAAACCTAAGTGTTGTTTCTGCAATAGCTAAATCAGTATTTCGACGACATAACACCAGCACAGTCAGTTTTACAGGTTGAAATGCCTTGTCTAAGTTCACTAAAACCGCATGTTCTTCATCACTCAAAGTCTGCTTGGCTCGACCATCGAGCCATTGGTCGGCCGAGATCTCGCGAGAATGATATTACATGATATTGCATTCCCTAATCAGCAAAGAGAGTATTCGAAAGTTTATTTACAATTCAATTGCTCTTATTTATTTCTTTGGAAGATTCCCACATTTATTTTATGAAGGTGAAGTAGAAGAAAGCCAAAAACCTTTTCCCCCAGAAATATAATTTACGTTTAATTGAACTCAATACAATCAATACACCTTCTTCTGTTGAACCCAAATTCAGCGAAGGTGAATCACATATACCTTCATCCATTTATACCAAGGCAATGAAGGGTAATACATTTTTTTCGAATTCTTTCTAATCCTCCATTAGAGAATGTCGATTACTAGCCCCCGATAACTCAAATAACATAAAGGGAGGTCATTACTCGTTAACTTCGTTGCTATTTTTGTTGTTTCTTGTCAATTTTCCTCATTATGAGGACCGAAAGCAAATACCAAATGTTAAATTTTTTCTCAAATAAAATGTTCATCATCGGATTTTTCAATAATAAATGAACCAGTTTAGGAAATATAATGAAAAGGGATAGAGAGAAAATATATTCCAATGATGTATCACATGACCTAAAAAGGCAGTATGGGATAAATTCCAATTTATTAGTTTATAGCTAGGGGCTATTTCATATTAATATTCAGCAATTTTTATTCCTCAAACACTGCTTTTTGAAAAAGCAGCAGATGCTTTGAAGAAACTGCAAAGGATATGACAGCATTTTGGAGTATACGGCAAAAATATTGTTAAAAAAATTTCGAGAGAATTGTGTGCCTGGATATTTTGAACAGTTTGCTTTTAAGTTTTGATCCACTCATACTCATTATGATGGCAGTACCACAAAGTGAACCATTTTGAACTAGACTCTATAGCCCTACTTCTTACAGGTAATCTATTCAGTCAAATAGTTCGTATAAAGGCACTTGGCGTCAGAGAGCGACATGAGCTGTTCTGACAAAAGATAAATAACTGATAGTTTTGTTAACCATGGAATAATTTGTATATAGTAAACCAAAGTATTCATTGTATAAAAAATGTGTGTCTGTTTCACTTTTTGAAGTGATAACTTCTTATGGAAGAGTAAACCGCTTCGTTACCTAACGCGTAACGGCGCCAGTTTGACTGACTTCCCTTCCTCTCACGCATACGTCAGCGGAATGCAGACTCCTACTCTCTCGTCGGGCAGATGCTCATTGTTTAGTGTGCGTTAGGCATATACTGTTGACAGTATTATGAAAGTATAACCAGCAAGCACGTAATATTCTTTCTTTCACTACCAACCTGAGAAATTGCTATTATTTACTCCATTCCCCTAACGAGAATTAATATTTCTCACCATTGATAAATAATGATAATAAAAAAACACCTAGGAAAATNGGTATGGTAACAGATAATGTAATTAACTAATAAACTACGAGTTTCTTTTCCAGGAATGTATAACGTTCATGTAGAAAACTTTATGGTTAGAGATGTGAAATATATTTTCTATACGATGTCTTATAATCAACTGAAAACTCTTCTGAAAGAAAACAGGAGGTTACAAAGTTTTCCACTAGTAGATAGTCCAGAAAGCATGGTCCTACTGGGTTCCATTCAGAGGTTACAACTAATTCAACTCATCGAAAAGCACATAGGAAAAGAAAGAAGGCTACAGGTGAGTTAAGATAATATTTGTTCATCAACTGAACATTTCCCGTGAAATTACCTACAGGCGAGTAGCGCCTTTCTGCAGCCACGACTTGGGGAAGAAGAGGCATAGTTCTAGATATACAGGGTTGGACTATTGAACTGGAGAACGAAAAATCTCAATAATTATAGCGTTACCAGTATCAGTATCAGTATCAACCTTTGTAAATAATAATTTACATGTACATACGCATATATGTCAATAAAAATGTAAAACCTACCAGAAATTGAGGCAAAACCAATTATAATTAAATCAAATCTTCAAAAACATATCTGATTATGATCATTCCCATTTCGAATTTTGTTTTTTTTTTCAATTCCATAATTGTAAACCATTTAAAGCGGCATTGGGACTATTCATGTAATTTAAACAATATCTCTGACATTTAAACAAAAAAAGCAACTTCACGAGGCTTTTGAAAAAAATTCACAGTTGTATAGACAGCTCAGGCGCAGCTATGGAAATCATTAACGATGAATTAAAAAGGGCAAAAAATCAGCTGAAGAACACTATCTGAAGCTGAATTCGGATAAATCTAAAACAGTTTTCTTTGGTAATGAAATTAATAGAAATTTTTTGAGAAATAACATAGTTATTCACATACCCCTTACAAGTAAGTGACTCAGCTAAAAATTTGGGACTCACCATAGATTCTGATATGCGTTCTCCCAGTACATCAAAAGTCTGGTAGGTAGAGCTTTTGGATCACTTAAGGTCATTTGGAGTTATCGGCATATTCTCAATTAATGTGACTTCTTTTACGGTCTATGCCCAACAATCGTTGATCAATTGCGAGTTCAAAAGATATATACAAAATAGTTGTTGTAGACACATTTTTGGAATAAGAAAATGTAAACCCATCTCTCATGATCTCATTGAATGTAACTGACTCAATATGGAAAATAGAAGACAACTTCACTCAAATGCCTTCGTTAAAAAACGTTTGAATAATCCTGACCCACCAAGCCTGATACGTTGCTTCACTCCTCGATCTCCAATCCATTCAAAGAATGTCAGAAACAAGTCTACCTTCACCATGCTCAACAGGACACTCTTCAACCACTCTCCACATCACATATTATAAAATTTACTTCTTTTTCAAACTTTTCTCAAATAAATGTGTAACAACCTGAACTTCTTCCAATTTTTCACCTGCCGATTTCAAATGTCTCACAATCTCATCAAATTTTCTCAAATGACTTTCCATACTTTCGTTTTCCTCTGATTTCAGCATTAAAAACTTCTTTCTTAAGTAAATTCTACTGGCAAGTCCTTTCTTTTGATATGTATTTTCTAGTGCTTCCCACATTTCTTTCGCAGATTTCTTATCTTTAACGCATTCCAAATGCGAATTAGCTAAACACTTTACAATAATATTCTGGCATTTGATGTCATTTTTCTTCCAGTTGGAGTCTTCCGGCAAGGGAACTGCTTCATTAATCACTTCTTCAACTTCATGTTCTTTGAACAGTAATTCCATTCGAAATTTCCAATGGTCGAAATCTGTACCATCGAACTGACGAATTCCCAACTTATCATCTGGGCCCATAACATTTCGAAATTAATAACTTTCCTCAGTTAAAGAAAATGAAATGTTTCTTTTGACTTTTATTGACACAAACTTTTTTCTTTTTTTTCATACAATAGCAACTATATACAACTAGATAAAATAAAATTATAAATCAACTAAACCGAATGATGTTCTCATATTCATAACTCATCATTAACGAATGATTCTTGGAATTTTAGTTGATAATATTGCTGAGACAAAAAGCAAAAATCAAATTGAGAGTATACAAATTATGAAGGAAAGTGGCCACTGTCTTCATTGTGTTGAAAATAATACAGAAAAATATGTTCAACCTGTTCAATTTATGGATGACACTTCAAATGATTCTTCACTTTATCTTCAACCCGTATCGGATCGGTGAACGAAATTATAACTGATCTCTGAACTCAAAAACCTCTTTCTCATATTACAAATAATTGTGTTTCATGTGGTAAGATTCCAAAACAGTGGAAAGGCACTAAAGACAACACTATCCCCATTCATTGTGAAGAATAATTTGATTACAGATAATTTGGATTTTTTTGAAATACTGAGAAAGCTATAAATAATTATTCAGAACAAACCGTCATGGCTTTGAAGAGTCATTCAAATGCATAGCAATTTTTTTTGATTTGTCAGAAGCGTTTGATACGACTTCACATAATAAACTGCTTAGTAAGCTGGAATACTATTAATGGGATTCCATAGAAGGTATTTAAATTTAAATTTCAATACTGCTTTTATGAGTCGAAAAATTCAAATACAATATTCACTAAAGTTGTTACCGCTGTGTACAGGTGGCCGCCATAAGACAAAGAGAGGCCGAAGAAAAGGCTATTGAGGAAGCTCTAAAGAAGGCAGAAGAAAGAACTAAAAGGAGGCCATCCAGATTTCAGGTAGTTCCAGCGCCAGACATGCTTCAAAGACAGTCATCAGAGAATAATCTTGATCAACCAACATACAATCCTGTATTCGGTTCACAACCCAAAAAATCGATTCTTAAAAAGACGAACTCATTTACGTTGAAGGGTTTCACGCCATTTGTGACTACGAGTCCAGGAAGTACACCTTATACCACAGTAACAGGAGCAGAAAGCAGAATAAGATCGGCATTTGAAGCTATCTTCAGGTGAGAAGGTAACGTAGTGGAGTTTTATTAAAAACTTCAATGACTACAAGTAGTGGAAAAATTAGTCTAAATGGTCAGTGATGTAGAGAGTTGCTAAATGAAGAATATGATTTCATACTTCAATATGATTGAGATTACAGATAAGTCTACATTACGAACTTAGATTTGGCGCATTTCATCAGAAAACTCATTATTGGTAATGACTTCTCCATGAAATAAAACTAAGTGAAAAGTGTATTAGGAAGTTTAATTTTGAAAACTTTTAATTGTTCTTGAAATATAAATTCCTATGATTTAAGTAACACCAATCTTCTTTTTCTACTGTTATCATTTTATTCTGAGATAGAATAAGAGTAAATTCAAAATTGAATTTGTCTGATGAAAAATTAATAATTATCATTGTTTCCTAGAGACACATTCACTTTTTCTATCACTGAAACAGTTTGAAAACAACATACACCAATTCTTCACAAATACTTGGTTTCTTAATGAACATTTTTTGATCACCTCTATGAAATCTTCACAGGGATGAACCACCGGTAAATCTAGAAAATATTCTTCATAGTATAGAAGATTCCCTCATTTTTTTGTATCAAGATGGAGTAGTAGAAAAAAATTTAATCACTCCTAAAAATATAACCCCTTCAATTCAAATAAGATTCCTCTTGGCTGAAATCAAATCAAATAGGTGAATGAATGTCATTACGATGTCATCGATGACATAAGCAGATTAAGCTTATTCCGTGACATTAAAAATATATTCATAAATGAATTGTGTGTATTTTCTATAATGTTATCCAATTTGGTACTGAAGAGCCTTAGGGCAAGTGTCTTACGGCGAAACATCGATGTGTACCAGTGAGGATGACAGTGTTCCATGTAAGTGCAATTTGTTACCATTCATTTAAAGTAGAACTCATGTGAATAATATCTGATTTCATTCCACATAGAATTTTTGAAATACAAACTGAATAGAGAAAAGTATACCTTCTGTATAATTCAGTGTTCATATAACAGTATTTGTTTCGAAAGAATTTTTTTCTTTCGTGTAATTCAATGTTTATATGAAAGTAGTGAGGACTTTCTTTCAGTTTATGTCTGAAAGTTAGTTCTTTGCATGATCTACACATCCATGTATAGAGTTACTTATTTTCAAATTGATTACTTCCTTTCTTTCTTTGGAAGATTCCCTCATCTTTTTTTTTTGTATCAAGATGGAGTAGTGGAAAGCCAAAAACTTTCCCAGAAATTAATCACTCCTAAAAATATAACCCCTTCAATTCATTCTTCATAGTGTTCTGAAAAGGATGTTACTTGGATCAATATTGTTATCGATATAGGTACCCGTCTTAAAATAAACAGAATATTTTTGTTTAGAGAAGTTCAACAAATATGAAAATATATCTCAAAGCTGTTAACCATCACGTTACATTTCATTCAGAACTGTTCTTTTTTTCAAGGAAATCGGCTCAACTTCAAGACGTTGAAGGCAATGCAGAAAGTCAAGAAAGTAACGGCCAAATAGTTGCAATGAGTCCCATTGCACTAAAGAAGGTTCAACTGGTAATTATCAAAAGTTTTACTTCACATTAAAAACTTCAGTTTTCATTGGGTTGTATTAGGGATATGTCTCAATAACTTTTGATGTTTCAATAAGTGAATGTTAAGGAAGAATAAATTCTTAATTATGTGAGGTATCTCATACTCATAGACACGCGTTCTTTTCAAGATCACTCCGCCTGGAAAGTTCAATCCAACAATGGCTATAATATTCCAGTAATACGGCGGTATGATATTTGTTTAAAATTAGCAGGACTATACAACTCTGAAACTGTTCTTCCCTTTTCCAAATGTAATTCTCCTCAACTGATTTTCGAGAAATTTACTAAATTTTGCTAACTTTAGGTAGAATAAGAATGGCTATAATAGACTGGGGTAACGTCATATTGTATCTTTTAATACATCATAAATCAATTAACAATCTAAATTTCAGTCATGAGTTTTAATTTCATCCAAGAACATATCTTAATTTTCATTTTCACAAGCTTCTATCAAGTTTCAATAATAGTCTCACTGTTAGTGAAAAGTAGATACACTCTCAGTGTAGAAGCTATTTTGAGGTTGTCCAAGCCATTTCATTAGACAACTTCCATATCTTTGAGTAAACAATTTAAATACAGTTATTACAATAAATTCTTGCACTACTTCCTTTTTCCGGATAAATTAACTAACTTGGCAAATGGGTGTTCTATTAACAAAATATGTATGCATTTTAAATGAAACTGTTTTTCATAAATATATTAGCACTATTGATAAACACTATTAGGACACCCGGTATACATAATATAGTTATAAAGAGATTTATGAGTGAGTACAGTACACAAAATGAACCAAGGCCGGTCATAAGTACCGCCTCTCAATTGCCCCCAAAATTCGTATCATTTAGAACCCATGATTCAATTATATTAACACCTCAACACGTGTAATCATTAACAAGTGATCATCTTCAAGAGGAAGATCAAACACGTGTCGGGGTGTTAAAATAACGGTCAAGTATTGGAAAAAAACTCCAGTAATATTCATACTGTCCGACAGTTGACGTTTTGTCTTCGAAACAAAATTAGGTATTTTTTACAATCGCTATCACTAATATCCATATGATTGATGGCAAATATTCCGACAAGAAGGGTTTATTCTCATACTACCACGAAAAATCGCAAATTTAAACCTCTGGGAGAGTGGATTAGACATTTTCAATCGGTGGCAGTAATAAAATGTTATACACGCTTTCAATAAATATTCACAAATATCTATTGAAAATACGTTTCCCACACCAGAACAAAAGTATTTTTCAAGTCCTCACCTGATGATATTAACGTGGTTAGCGAAACGCGAGTTCTGATGTGGGACAAGTAATATCAATTGATTCATATTAAACTAGAGATTCCAGTTTAACCTATCAAATTGACCAATATTTTGATAGGAAGGCTTTGGTTTGCAGTAAAATAGAGCAAAAGGGATAAACTAGTCACAGGAAGAAGTAAATCGATTTTTATAATCAGAGACAACAATATTATGCTATAATTGATATCAAAAATACTCGTTTGTATGTCAGTGATGTATGCAGGATGTGTTCCTAGGAGGATGGGGGAGGGTGCAAATATGAATCCCAATATTGAATGAACAATTCATGTGCCCCTTATATGAAATAAAAAACACCACTGTCAATGATAGATGAACTAGTATCTCGAATCAAAGCCTATATTAGCTTATCTTTTTCAAAATAATTTCAAGATATACAAATCCAAACCTTTTCCAACAAGTTTCACTTTTCTATCCCCAAATCAATCCTCCCACACAGTCTGAAAATCGGCATTCTCTTGGGTTCGACCAACTGCACTAGGAGCTGGTCATTGTTTCTCGAAACCTGGTCACCTGAAAAACCAACTAGAATGAGACTGGTCTCCACCAACTCAAAATTTTCATTTACTGAAAACTGATCCCCTGTTTGCAGAATATTCTCTACCCCTGGCCTACAAGTAGCCTTGCCAACTTTACCTGTTCATCAATGTATTCATTTTAACAGCTAGAATTTTAGAGTACCCTCATTATTACAAAAATATGTGAATAAATACAGCAAACAACAGCAAATACGTTCATTTATTGTTGTTGATTTTCTTAACAAAGTTCTCAAAAAATATAATGCAAGCCTGTTAAGTTTCAATTAAAGTTTGTCAAAAATGAATGTGGGCCCTATATCTCTCCCTAACATATAATTTGATGTTAGTATAATTGAATGCTAACTGACGAATCTTCTTTCACTTTCCTGTGAGTCTGAAGAAAAGTCTGCTACTATTCCACAGGGCGACCAATTCCAGAAATCCTTGAATCCTTACGCTTTTATTGAATTCCGAACTACTGCGAAAAGGTAAGAATGAAAGTATACTGTCACAACATAATGCGAAAATATAGTGATAAAAGTAACACCTGGGCTGAAAAGTCCCAGACCTAAGAAAGAAAAAGAAAACGCTTTTTTCTTCAAAATTGGATTTATTCTTCAACGCAATCTCCATCAAGAGCCACACAATCATTCCAGCGCCGCTCTAACATTTCAATATGACTTTTGTAGAACAATTTATCTTTCGCCTCAAAATAGGCCTCAGTTTCAGCAATAACCTCGTCATTCGAGAGAAATTACTCACCGGTGAACATTTTTTTGAGGTCTGCGAACATCCAGCAGTCGCTGGGAGCCAAATCTGGCGAATATAGTATATGCAGGAGCAATTTGAAGCCCATTTCATGCAATTTTGCCATCGTTTTCATTGATTTGTGACACTGTGCATTTTCTTAATGAAGCAGCACTTTGTTTTTCTTCAAATGGGGTCGTTTTTCCGCAATTTCGGCCTTCAAACGCTCCCATAACGCCAAATAATATTTACTGTTGATGAATATTACACCACGCACCTCCCAAAATACCTAAACGATGATAACCTTTCCAGCCGATTGTTGTGCTTTCGGGCGAGGTTGGCCAGTTGCTCTCCACCCAGATGACAATCGTTTTAATTTCGGAGTGAAGTGATGAATCCATGTTTCATCCTTGGTCACATATCGGCGCAAAAATTCCAGTTTGTTATGCTTAAACATGGCCAAACACTGCTCAGAATCATCAAGACGTTCTTGTTTTTAGTCAACAGTGAGCTCGCGCGGGACATAGTCAAATGCTCATGCAATATAAAGCCAACACGTTCTTTCTATATCTTTACAATGTCAACTAAATTACACAACTTCACTTTTCGATCATTCAAAACGATTTTGTGTTTTTTTCTATGTTTTTCGGTGTTACTGTCTCATTTAGAAGTCCACTGCGTTCTGCATCATCGTTGTCTCTACGACCATGTTTGAAGTCAGCAAACCAATGTTTGATTGTTGTTTCTGATGGAGCAAAGTCCTTATAACACTTTTCAAGCCATTGCTTCGCTTGAACCATATTTTTTTGAAAATAACAAAAGTATGTCACTCTTAGCAAAACAACTCACAAACTTATGAGTGGAACATTATGAAATTTCAACAGCTTTCTTTCGAAGGTGAAAACTAACTGAAAAAGCGGTGAATGCAATAAGACTATCGCCATCTATGTGTTAGGCCCGAAACTTTTCAGTCCATGTAGTATACTATCCCAGGAAAACGTTCGATCAAATTCAAATTACTAAAACAAACTTTCCATGCATAGGTATGGCAACATCAAGATTTTGATATCAGTTTTAGGATTTCTAATGTAAACAAAATATTGGAATTTTTTCCAAATAATCTATGCTAATGTAGGTAAACGTTCATAGTGAAATATCTACTTCATCTCTATGAATTTTTTAATTTTTAGCCGAGTGAGAGGGTTTGTGACATGAGTCCAGAAGACCAAATCAAATGGGAAGAAGAGCAAATGCAGTTACCGGTTGACTTCTCTGCTTGTCATATAGATCCAGCTCCGTTTCAGCTAGTAGAAAGGACATCCTTATTAAAAGTGCATTCCCTCTTCTCGATGGTTGGGGTGAATCATGCTTACGTAACTGCAATTGGGAAACTCGTAGGTGTGGTAGGTTTAAAAGATTTGAGAAAAGCTATCGAAGATGCAAATAGTGGAAATCTTCATTCCACCAGTACTGACACAACAGCTCTAAGCAATGGAAAAATAAGTGCCAGCGATATCAAAGATTCCCTAGAAAATGTACATGAAATAGTCAAAGATTCCAAAATGTGATATTTATTTTTATTGCCATTATAAATTATTACAATACGTATCGAATAAAATTGTTTGAATAATTGGTGTCCATGTTCGTTAATCAGTTAACATAATAAAAAACTTTACAGTGAATAAATTCACTATATCGATTGATTCTGAGTTGAATATCACACTACGCGATTGAACGCAACAGTAACAACTTAGTTGTCGATGCATGGATTTCTGAATAATCACCAGTGCCTTTTCACAATCGATACTGGAGCAGCGAGGTTAGTAATGAGAACCGGCATTTCCAACAGAAGGAGTTTGAAGAGGTTATCAGTAGTACCTATTCTGGAAACAGCCAATGGAAATAGAGTGACGATCTATGGAGAAGCTAAAGTGAAACTAAGGCTTGGAAATTGCGAAATAGAAACCAAGATATTAGTGGCCAACATCGTCGACGAACTCATTTTAGGATTAGACATCATATGCTCCTACGTAAGATTTCTTGATGTTGAGTGTCAGATTTTCAGGAAAGATTTACTAGCAATATTGCCGTTTAAAATCTGTTTAAATCATCAAGGTCATTGATGAATGTATTACTAAATCTACATCAATTATGATAAAATGGTGTCGCTTTCAACTGAGGGGGCCCCAGCAATGGCAAAGAAAAAGGTATAATAAAGAGAATCAGGGGTAAAAGCTCAGGTCTAATATCGTATCAGTGCATAATTCATCAGGCAGCCCTTCATGGAAAACTTAGTGCTAAACTGAAAGAAGTGATGAACAACTTGGTCAAGTTGATTAATATCTGCTCTTCAGTACCTGTTGAACTGCGCCTTGAAATACCATCAAATAGATACTGGGCAATTAAATAAGGCACACCTTGATTAACGTTTTAATAAGTAATCACTTCGTCGACATAACATACAACATGCAACTCACACGAGTACAGAGCTAAAAAAAAAACTAACAGATGACACGTCAATTACAGGATTGCCAACATACTAACTTCAACAGTACCGACATTTCAAGAAGTTTCTTTCTGATTGTAACAGGTAACTACAGTTGGGACTACCTAAACCTCTACAATTCTCTCTCATATACCTGAGGTACCTCTTCAATTATGATTACCTACCTGAAGCATATTACATCACTTCTACATCAATGATAATACTTCCTGAGTTTTTTAAATAAACAAGTTCAATAATGGTGATCTATTCAAATCCAGTTGGTCATTCATTAGAATGTTTGAATTTTTGAGTTTATTAATTTCCATTGCTTCCAAATAATTCAGTTTCCAACCTTCATTTTCTATATGTAAAATTTCGAACTTTTCGTTAAAGATATGATTCTCTTCTAAAAGACGAATATGTTGAAATTGTTATCTCATTTACATAGCTCATATGAAAATCCTGGATTCGATTCCTAAATGTTCTGCTAGTTTGATCAATATATACTTTAGGGCACGTTCCACACTTTAATTTGTATACTCGAATTTGGGAGTTTTGTCTTTATTATTTTTAACTAACTTTCCCAACGTATTACTTGCTCTAAATGCAATTTTAATATCTCGTTTCCTCAAAAATGAAGCCCCTTTTTCCGTTATTAGTCCAAAATACGTTATAGCTCTATAATTTTGATCATCTAACTTATCAATAGAAAAAACGTCTCGAATCGCTTTTGGGTAGACTTTTTTGGAAAGTATTTTGTTCATTAGTTCGGCTTTAAACCCAATGCAATTTGCTTGATGATATTAATATCATGATAATAATACCATCAAGCGATGGGTTTAAAGCCGAATTAATAAATAAAATAAACAAAAACGATATTAACATTATGATATCAATATCATGATATTAATATCATCAAGCATATTGCATTAAACAATGCAATATGCGAATTAATAAACAAAATACTTTTCAAGAAAGCCTACGCAAAAGCGATTCCAGACGTTTTTCCTATTGATAAGTTAGATAATCTAAATCAAAATTATAGAGCTATAACGTATTTTGGACAAACAACGGAAAAAGTGGCTTCATTTTTGAGGAAACGAGATATTGAAATTGCATATAGAACAAATAATCGTTGGGAAAGTTAGTTGAAAATAATAAAGACACAACATTCGAGTAATCAGGAGTATATAAATTAAAGTGTGGAACGTGTCCTAAGGTATATATTGGTAGACTTCACATCCAACTGGCCCATGTGATAATCCCTCTCCACAGCCAATACTAGAAGTATTCGGATTGTTACCATACGTGCCACTGGTGTATACACATCTTCATAAGGTACTTCATCTTGCTGGAAACCTCTTGCTACCAACCTTGCTTTCTTTGTAGATTCACCATTGATGTTTTTTTGTGTAAAAACCCATCGTGAATCCACTACAGTAGAATCCTGAGGACATGGTACTATATCCCATGTTTGGTTCCTGGTCAAGTTTGATATTTCTTCTTTGATGGCATTCCTCCATCCTTCATCCTTCTCAGCAGCATCATAACTTTGTGGTATATCAGATGGTAAGTAGCCTGTAGCCAAAGCAATCATAGTCTTGAAATCTAGCTGGTATTCTTCTTTCTCTGATGCTCTGTCTAATTGCCCCATTTCCTTCCTGCTCAGCTTGGACTTCATTTTCAACTTGGACTTCATTTTCTTCTTGTATATTTATGTTTTCTTCAATCAAGTAGGGCAAAATAGTTTCATTCTGCTCATGTGTTGGCGTCACAATATTGTTTTCACTTTCATCAAATACAATGTTTCGAGCTATAACCAACTTTTTCTTCTCAGAGTTCCACATTCTGAAACCATTAGGTGCATAACCTAACATTTTCATTTTGATACTATGTTTCTGAAATTTGTCTGTTCTATCTTCTTCTGGTATGTGAACGTAGCCTGTGCATCCAAATATTTTGATGTTATTGAGTTCTACATTATGTCCATACCAAATATTTGCTGGTAATTGGCCTTTTTCTAATGTTGAGGTTGGTAATCTATTATTAAGATAAGCTGCACATCTGATAGCTTCACCCCAAAATGACTTTGACATCTGCGAATCAAGTAGCAGACAACGAGCCATATTCATTAGTGTCCTATTGAGACGTTCACTAACACCATTCTGTTCAGGTGTCCTGGGGACTGTATATTGTACTTCCATACCATTTTTCTTACAGAAGTCTTTGAAATCTCTGGAGGTATATTCTCCACCATTGTCACATCTAAATTTACTTATTTTGGTTTGGAACTTATTACAAACCATTGCTTCATATTCCTTAAATTTTTCTAAAACCTCACTTTTGGTTTTCCTGAGGTGAACACATGTGAAGTGGGAGAAATGGTCAGTAAATGAAACATAATACTTCATTCCATCATAAGTTGCAGGAACAAATGGTCCAGCTACATCAGAAGACACCACTTCTAATATTCTTTTAGATTTTTTTTCAGTGGGCAAAACTTTCAGAAATGAGGAACGTGTTTGTTTTCCTTCCATGCACACCTGACAAATGTTCGTTATGGGATAATAGGAAGAATGACCCATTCTCCTATGTAACAAAGAACTCTTCTCATTGGAAGTCATATTTGCTGAATCTTCTTCAAGTACAAAGTCAATAATATACAAGTTTCCTCTGATGCTTCCCTCAATTACAACTTGGTTCTTTTTCCCAACAATTTGCACATTATTGCCATCAAAAATCACTTTGAAGCCTTCTTGTTGTAGTCTTTTTACAGAAAGTAGATTGTATGGTAAATCACAGCATTCCAGAACATCTTTTATTTTGATGTTCACATTGTCTTTATTTTTCAAAATCCCAATTCTATATTAGTATTTCAAAAGTCCAAGAAAAGGTTGTCTGGGCCCATAACCTGTTGAACTGCGCCTTGAAATACCATCAAATAGATACTGGGCAATTAAATAAGGCACACCTTGATAAACGTTTTAATAAGTAATCACTTCGTCGACATAACATACAACATGCAACTCACACGAGTACAGAGCTAAAAAAAAAAACAGATGACACATGTCAATTACAGGATTGCCAACATACTAACTTCAACACTTTTTGCTGAACGGGTTCCAACTCGGTGACAGAGTTGTGGTCACCTCGTTCAGTGTCGAAAACTAAACCGAGCTCATCAGTTGCTCGGGCAGCTGTCCTGAAGAGAAATTCTCCAATTCCTGCTCTCTCATGATCACGGACCATGCAGAGAAGGGGATTCGAACTCCTGACGACTCTACAGGCTATATCCAAAGTATTATTATCATTATCATCTAGGTCAAATGAATTTATTGAAAAACTGCATCCTCACAATTTTCAATGGAACCCAACACGAGCAATACCTAAAAGATATTTCAACAACTTTTCAATCGTATTTGTCTATTACAAACTCTGTTTCACTCTTTTTTTTTGTTTCAGGATGAAGTCCGATAGATGTCGCTTACAAATGTGAACTCGAGAGAAACATTGCCGATTAGCTCGACAGATTTCAAAATATAGTGATACTGAGTGTGAGTGCAAGAAACTGTTTCAACTCAGTGAGTGGGTGAATACGAACTCGAACAAAATGGAGATCTATCCGTGGATGTTCATTTGTTGCATTTCATTGTATAATGTGAAAGGTCAGTAGTACTTTTCATAAACACGAGCATGATACTTCGCAACGAAGGTTGAAAATTACGTAGAATATCAGTTGTTGGTGAACTTGTGAAATGTTTGTTGATGTTTTTCTGACCTATTTTATATTTAGAAGTGGAATACCTACGGTATTCAATAAAATCGAAAACATAAAATAACTTGACAGTCTGAAAAAAATGTTTCTGTCGACAAGTATTTTGGAAATTTTATTTGTTTGGGAGAAATGAAATATCCTGCTTCTTTAGGAAAGAAATCCAAAATTATTAGACCCATATATCAGCTGTTTCTGGACCCTTTTTGTTCACATCATATTTTTTGGCAATTTTGTTTCAGAATATACATCCAAGTCATGAATCGTAATAATACCATTTTTTTATTTCAAAACTTTGTTGATGAAATTGACAAAAAAACTGACATAAAACTTAGATTTCCGTATGTGTTTATCAAAATGAATAGCAGAAAGTTGGATTGTTGAATTGGGCATTAATTTTTTCTGAAATGCAAATTTATCTGGTTTTATTTGAATAATTATCTCAAACAGTTACAACTTGCTGATGGCATTTATTCGCAAATTTGATTCAATCACAGCTATAGCAACCTTATTTGAATTGAAAGGGTATATTGTTTGGAGAAATTATTTTTTGAAGAAAATAGATTGTGGCTTTCTGTTCTTCATCTTCATACAAAAATATGTGTCCTTTTCAGGAAGGTGGAAATGTCACTGGGGGATATCTCCTTAATATCGGCAGGTGTAGGCCAAACCTCGCCGGAACATACACTCTCTCATTGACGATAAATCATAACACTCTCATGCCAGATAGTTTCATCTTCCTGTTCACACGTCCTGCATAGAGGTCTGTCCATTAGCCCCATATTATGGAGGTGTTTCCTTAGTTGACATTGGCCAGTCAGAAATTATACTGTTAAGCGTAGATTTTTTCTGGTCATCGCCACATAATTCTTCGGCTCCAGCTTCCCAGAGACGCCCAGGGTGATCCTGGCAAAATTGTATTCTTTGATTCCATCTCATCTTTTCTGGAATTGAACATGGGTGTGACGTTTACCTAGTTTCGCAATTGTCGAAGTAATCAGGCAGTAGGTGTCACTGGGTCCTGAAATTCTTAGTTCAGCCGTTTCCTTGGCTAAAGAGTCGGTCCATCAACCTCAGGATAATGTTATAATCCATCGAGACTTTGGCTAAATTTTGGTGGCACTGTAGTACTTAGCTCTGAGGTAACACGTTGTCTGTTCAAGACTAATAGGGCTTGTCTGCTATTAGTGCAAATTGTTATGTTTTTGCCAGAAATTCCTTTCTTGGTTATTTCTTTCGTGGTGATTGAAAAACAAGCAAGTACTGTTCGAACCACGCTAGTAATTTTTCCCATTCCCCACTTAATCTTCAAGCTAGGTGATCTGGAGTACACTCCACATCCTGAGCCTTCTTTGGTTTTTGAACCGTCTGTATATATGCGTATTGAATTCGCAGCATCTGTTAGGTTAGGTCCAAAGTGATTAGGTCTATTCGACCCTCCACCGCAACCCGCGAGGGTTTATTGTGGCTCACACCTATTCGCACTCGACCAAATAAACCCAGCTTCTTAACGAAGCCGATTAGTTTTTATGGTGAATGGTGTTTCAGGTTAGATGGTGAGCGTACGGCTCTGCCGAACTCTAAAAACCTAATTCAGTCCCTAGCGGGACAGGCATAAAGTATATGTTCTGCTGTTTCATTGTTAATGAGGTAGTCGGAAAGTCAAGGTGCAAGATTTTAATCTTGATACCCGCAACAACCTTCCCATATGAGGGTTTTTGCACGTCAGCTACACCTGACGATGCCTTAGATTTAACGGTGCAGGGTTTTTTCGTGTAAGGTTTTGGTGAATCATCACTTGAGCGCGAAGCGGTTTCATAAGGTACTCCACTCTTGAGGAGACGATTCAGTCGGTCAGTTGGAATCGTTAGCTCGACATCCATCTCTTCTGTAGACTCAGCGTCAGAAAGAGTTTTTAAGTTTACTCTGTCCATAAAAGTTTTACGAGTAGCTGGGAAAGAAAGTCATTCACGGCAGAGCCCCGTATTACCGTGACAAGGCGATGCTAGGACGAGAGGGCGCCCAGTATATCGAAGGTTCTGTAGAGACAGCTGATAGGCTCAGTGTCATTCATCCTCTTAGCACGGATACACACACCTTAGAATCAAGACATCGTCGGGATGCCATTCAGTTAGGGAATAACAGAACCATAAGTGATTCTGTCATTCCCGTATCCAGCGGGGCTACGTGGAAGCAGGCATCCGATGGCCGGTTTGCTCAACCCACACATCCCAAGCACTCGCCGAAAACAGCATGTACAGTGGTTCAGTCAGTGTAAGATTAACAAGGACAGCCAACCCGCCATCTGCATCTGACTCTGTGTTCCGTTTTATTTGTATTTTGTAGGGTTTATCAAACAGAAACCTGGGTTCAATTGCATCACTGGCTACTTGTAGCAAATGTTGCGCAGTAAGCACTTCTTGCCATAGGCTTAGCCTCAGTTAACCCATTTCTACTTCGAGGTGTACATCAGCCGTATGCAATCGTAATATGGCCATTACCGCAACCTCCTTAACGTACAGGTCCAGAGGGGTCAGAACAGTAATTAATTCCATTGCCGCGGTTGATGTCGTTCTCATGGCTCTCATGATGTATAAACGAGCCAATCGCTGATACATGGTGACTAATGCATGATGAGCAAGTTATTTTTGATCTGAAAATACGAACTATATATATAT